GGTTCAAATGTATATCTTTGTTCTTGAGCATACATATACACACCGCACTATCAAGAGGGAATGCAAAATTGGTGACCAGGCAAGGTCTGAAAGTGCTCAAGAAAACCTTATGAGAGAAATCCAAGTGATTAATTATAGGGATCCCTTAATTATAACACACAAGTGAGTTGGCATTTGCTAGAAAAAAACCGCTAGGCTAGTTTTGCCACAGTAACGAGTAGTTCAAAGATTTCAGCAAGGACGGTTTTTAAAACCATCTAGGTTGGTTTTTACTGAATTGCTCCCTAATGGATAGTTTTTGGGAGATGGGTATACTGTTTCTTTTCTACTTTGGAAGATTGCTGGTGCCATGTACGTCCTTTAACATTCAGATAGCCTTGAGAGCTCTCCACATCTCTCTTTGTGGGATTTGTGTGAGTCGAGTGATAGCCTTTGGATTGCATTGGGGGTGAGAGATTTGAGCTGTGTAAGCTTGTGAGAGCACTAGTGATGAATCCTAAGTCTTGAGCACTCTATGACTGCATCGAGTTATGTGTTACGCCTCCTAGACGGCTATACATCATCGGCGAGCACAAAGCTTGTGGAGTTCTTCGGGACCAAAAGTGCACATGGGCCCCTAGAGGGTTTTGATGATTTTTTCTCTCGATCAATTTAGGAACTAACAATATATGTGAAGTCTTATGAAATAAAATTTGTAAAATTTTATAAAAACGATAGGTATAGATTTGCAAAGCTTATCCCTCTACCTACTAATGAAATAAAAGCTGACCGGTCTTCAATCTTAGCATTTCATCACATTTAGCGTTGACACAGTTCAGGTTTGAATTTTGCGACCAGCGTATGTGGGGGGAAACCAAAATTCATCTATGTCCAACATAAAAAGACCAAGTCATTAGAAGTTTGCCTCCGGGAGTTGAATCCATATAGAAAAACAAGTCTGATCTACGCCATCAGAAAGAGAAAAGGCCTTATTGCAAGACGATGATGTTTAAGTTTAACTATAATATATTTCTTGCAGCAATAATGCTCTACGTCAAGTCGTCAAGTCGTCGTCGGACCTCGATGGCTCCAGCCCTCATAATGTCTCTCTCGGGGAAAAATTCTATGCGACACCGTCGCACAGAGGCTGGCGTGTGCGACTCCGCGTAATCGATTTGGCGAGTTTTTCAGATAATTGTGCGTGGAGTGGGTTCCGCACAGCATGACATATAGAGAGTGTGGACGCGCGCAACTTATTACCTACACGCGGAATTGTTCCTTGCTTCCATTTCACACAGAGATTGTATATATAGGGCCTGTCACACGGAGATTAACACAGCATTACATGCTTAACTAGTTAACTTAAGGCGACTTTGCTAGAATCCCTAGGAAAGGCTGCATTTCCTTCGTAAACATTCATAAACAGAAGCAGCTAGCCGTCCTGCTCGCGCTGCTTGCAGCGCTGGCTATCTCTTGCCATGCCGCCGCTGCTTCAGCAGTCAGGACGCAGGTCATCCACACCGATGCCGGGCGCGGACTGACCCGCCGCGAGCTGCTGCAGCGCATGACGCGGCGCAGCAAGGCACGCGCCGCGCGGTTCCTCGCCAGCTCCTCAGCGAGTGCCCCAGTGACCCCGGGGCAGCGCAACGGCAGTGACCCCAGTCCCAGTCCCAGCACGGAGTACCTGGTGCACTTGGGCATCGGCACGCCGCCGCAGCCAGTGCAGCTGACGCTGGACACGGGCAGCGACCTCACGTGGACGCAGTGCCGACCCTGCATCTCCTGCTTCCACCAGGCCCTCCCGTACTTCGACCCCTCCCTCTCCTCCACGTTCCAGGAGCTCTCCTGCGGCAACGAGACGTGCTTGTACACCTACTCCTACGGTGACAACTCGACGACCAACGGACAGCTCGACGCGGACACATTCACGTTCGTGGCCGTCGATGGGCGCACGGCCACGGCCGTGCCCGGCCTGTCCTTCGGCTGCGGCCACAACAACAGTGGGATCTTTACGTCCAACGAGACCGGCATCGCTGGGTTCGGCCGCGGCTCCCTGTCCCTGCCGTCGCAGCTCAAGGTCGACAACTTCTCCTACTGCTTCACCGACATCACGGGATCGGCGCCCAGCCCCGTCCTGCTGGGCCAGCCGGCGAACCTCTACAGCAGCGCAGGTGGCGCCGTGCAGACCACCCCGCTAATCCAGAGCCCCAAAATTCCATCTTTCTACTACCTGTCGCTGAAGGGCATCACCGTCGGGTCCACGAGGCTGCAGGTGCCGGAGTCAGCTTTCGCGTTGACGAACAACGGAACCGGCGGGACGATCATCGACTCCGGCACCTCCTTCACGACGCTGCTGCTCCAGGTTTACCGGCGCCTCCGGGCCGCGTTTGTCTCCCAGGTAAAGCTGCCCCCTGCGGAGGCCAGCAACGCGACGACGGACGCCGATCCCATCTGCTTCGTACTGCCGTCGTCCGGGGACAGGCCGGAGTTGCCCAAGCTGCTGTTCCACTTTGAGGGCGCGACGCTGGACCTGCCGCGGGAGAACTACATGTTTGAGATCGAGAACGCGGGCCGCAGCTTCACCTGCCTTGCGATCAACGCTGCTGGAGGAGACCTGACCATAATAAGCAACTATCAGCAGCAGAACATACACGTGCTCTACGACCTGGCCAATAACAAGCTCTCCTTCGTCCCTGCTCAATGTGAAAGGCTTTAGAGTTTAGATCCAGGGGGTGTTTGGTTGCCCCTCCTAAAATTTAGTCGATATTTCATCGGATGTTTGACACATGCATGGAGTATTAAATATAAACTAATTGCATAGTTTGCGATTAATTTACGAGAAAAATCTTTTAAGCCTAATTAGGCCATGATTTGACAATGTTTTGCTACAGCAAATATGTGCTAATGATGGATTAATTAGGTTTAAAAATTCATTCCGTGAAGTACTGACGGATTATGTAATTTATTTTTTTATTAGTGTCCGAATACGGATACAAACTCCAGACTCGACTGCTTACTGCATCGTCCTGGCCCCTCACGTTTGGCATACGTATTTACCGCCTTGTGCTTTCATTTTTTTATATTATATAATAGGATGCGAGAGTTTCAAATGTTATTAAAGGTTTTCTATTGCGAAAGTTTCAAATGTTTAGCCAATTCTTATCCAAATTTTAATGCAAGTCCAAAAGTATGTCTGATCCGATTGCCACCATCTTCACTGCCATTTTCCAAATACTGCCATGCTTGTGGCAAACGAGATGCTAAACTTCAAAAAAAAAAAACTCAAAACTAGAAAGTTATAGATTCTATCGAGCACTACAATTTTCATATACAAAGTATCTTTATCCGATAACATACAAGAAAAATATGGTTTTTCTAAGGTGATAAGTTCGGTACGCGATTTATATGTTAGTGAAACGTTATAATTCTTTTAGCATCTTAACAGTCTAAACTAAATAAACTAAAATCCAAAAAGTTATAGATCACGCACTACTACATAAATCTTAATGGAGACGGACGAAATGGGTTAATGGAGGCGGGCATTGCAATCGCCTCCAATGAAAGGTCATGGTTAATCGCAACTTTACGGAGACGGTTGCTAGGCCCGCCTCGGTTAATCGTTTAACGGAGGCGGACGCATTAAGGCAACTGCCTCGGTTAAATCGGATTAACCGAGGCGGTTGCCATAGCGTGCCCGCCTCCGTTAAATAGATTAACGGACGACCGCCTCGGTTAATACCTTATTAACCGAGGCGGGTGCCCAACGTTGACCGCCTCCGTTAATCTATTAACGCCAACCGCCTCGGTTAATGGCTAATTAACCGAGACGGTCGCCGTTCCGTTAAAGATTAACCGAGGCGGCCGCTCGGAAGCCTTGCTTGGCTGGTGATAACGGAGGCGGTCAAAAGTGGTGCCCGCCTCCAATCAAAAAAGGGTGCCGCCACCTAAAAGGAATCCTGTAGTAGTGATGTCGAGCGCTACATTTTTTATATGCAAAGCATCTTTATCCGATAACATAAAAGAAAGATATGATTTTTTCTAAGGTGACAAGTTTTGTACGCGATTAATATGTGTTGAAACTTTATAATATTTTTTGAGCATCTTAATGATCTCAAATAAAAAAAACTCAAAACTATGAATATGTAGATCTCATCGAGCTACAATTTTTATATACAAAATATCTTTATCCGATAATATACAACAAATATATGGTTTTTCTAAGATGACGAGTTCGGTACACGATTAATATGCTACTTAAACTTTATAATTTTTTTAGCATCTTAACAATCTCAAATGAAAAAAAACTCAAAACTAGAAAATTATAGATCCCATCAAAGGATACAATTTTCATATAAAAATCATACTCATCCGAGGTCATATAAAAAAGATACAATTTTTCTAAGATTAAGTTTTGCCGCTGACATGTGGGTTCCACCTGTCAGATCCATGTAAGCAGCTAAGCGCTGAGTCAGCATGCCGTGTCAGCTACCGGGTCGGATAAACACTCGTTTGAACCTGGATGAACCCGAACTAACTTCATGGACCCAAAATGCATTTTGAGACTTTAGGGACCTATAACATCTACTGACAACTTCAGGGACTTGAGGTGGATTTCATTCTTTTTTCATGCTTCCTAAGGTTACTAATTGTCAAAGTTTCACCTGTTAAGTCAAATCTTATTAAAGGTTTTCTATTGTGAAAGTTCAAATCTTAACCAAGTTATAATGTAAGTCCAAAATTATGTCTGATCCGCTTGCTACCATCTTCATTGCCATTTTCCAAATAATGCAAGAAGGCATGGGTCTCAGCTTGCCCCAAGCATCTTTTCGTTTCTCCTTTCTTTCCTTTTTCGGGCTTGAATCAACAGTGCTACAGGACAGGAAAGAAACTAGTTTTGCATTTCTCTTGAAAGTCATTGAACAGGCCGGTTACAGAAGGCATATTGTACAGCTTTGACTGCGATACAACAACAAAAATTGGTAGTGAATCTCGTGCATCGAGCATCTGTGCCAGGCATCAACTCACCAGTCGTCATCCCATCGCACGCCATGTTTAGCAGCGAGATAGTAAGCATTGATAGGCCCTCTGTCCCCAGCCTCGTAGAGCTCAGGAGCTACTCTGTTCTGATCGATCTCATGGATTATCGGAGTCAGCACGTTCCATGCAGCAGCCAGCTCATCGCTGCGCATGAATAAATGACTATCTCCATCTAGCACGTCCAGGAGAAGATGTTCATATGAATCTGGTACCACCTCGGTGTTGTACCTACACATCAAAGATCATGGTTTAGTGACAGTTCTATTGAATAGATCATAAGGTGATCCAAAAGATTTCCATACCTATCCCGGTAAAGCAGGTTCAGTTCTGAAGCATCCAGTTGGAGACCAAGCCCTGGGACCTTGTTGTTGACTTTCAACAGGATTGCTTCTTCAGGTTGATCGCGTAGGACCAGCTCGTTTGTGTCAAGATCTATGTCATGGCCAAAACGTTCACGGTAGATATTACCAGGGACATGGCGAAACTGAATTCGAATTTCAGCTCTGAAGGAAATCAATGATTAGACGGCTTCAGTTATGCTTGATCAATTTGTCAGGTGGTAGTTTTTTTTTCTATAAGAAATTGGTAATATTCTTTCATAAAAGTGTTTCAATCTTGCAAAAACTATCAACAAAGTGATCAGAACAGGGTGGACTACTGAAACATTTGATAGAACAGCATGCTATGTGCAAATGAATCAATTCCTGATTCTACCTTTTGAGATGTTAGGTTATAGAAATGCAATATAGTCATAACAGCACAGTGCTACAATAAAAAAAAAAAAAACTCGACCTGCAGGGGGTAAGCCACCCCCTGGGCATTGTTGTAAGAGAGAAGACCTTCTCACACAGGTCGAGAAAACCCCCGAACCCCTGCCCTACCCTGACAAAGGGGCACTGTTGCCCTGTGAGAACCGGGCTGGGCCTTTTGACCTGTGCTTTGGCCGTGGGACAGACGAGGGGATTTTTTTAACCCCAGCCTGAAATTCGCTCCCACGGGGAGTCAAACTCAGGACATGAGGAGTGCCGTCGAGGCCACCTAACCAGTTCAGTTAGGCACCCTTTGGCCACAGTGCTACAATGAGGTGACTGAAATCAGACATTAACTATTCGAATGTACCTATTCGTCATAAGCCCCATGCCTGTCCTGATAAAAAATGGCACCCCATCCCAGCGTGCATTGTCAATGTACATAGCAGCGGCAAAATAGGTTGGTGTCACGGATTTTGTGTATCTGTCAACTTTACCAGACGTATCTTTAAGTTGACCAAGAACAACATCCTCAAGGTCCACTTTCCGAATTGATCTGAGAACCTTCACCTGCATAAGTGGAAGTTCTTATGATCCTGTATCAAAGCCAGCACTTTCTAACTTCTATCTAGCACAGTAGTGCTGATTTTCTATGTTAAAAGGATTATACCACCTTACCTTTTCATCTCGGATATCTTCTCCATCAAGACTTACAGGTGGTTCCATAGCAAATAGAGCTATTGTTTGAAGAATGTGACTGTGAACTATGTCACGGATTATCCCATAATTTCCAAAGTACCTGCAAGGGCATATGGTTTTGAACTAAATGACCCAGAATTAGAATACCAAAACATGAATAGATTTTCAATAAAGAAAACCAAGATAAGAGATAATTTCAAAGGTTAAACAGAAGAGACTATTGTGAAGTTCAAACAAACCCAAATAACCTACTCACGCAAAGTCAATCTAGAGTTTGTGATAACATGTATGGTTTTACATCATTCAAGAATGCTAAGGAAATTCGATAGCATTAACTCACCTCCCTTGTATTTCATTTGATGTTTCTTCAGAAAAAACGACCTGACACAATTCACACACATTACTACATGATCCATGTATATACAAAATAATAAAGCATGTGCTAAAATGAGTCTTCAAGTGTACCTGCACATTCCGTATGTAAGTTCGACTCCACAAAGGTTCAAACACCAAATTAGAAAATCTCAAGACAGTAAGATTTTCGATCAGATCCTTCCCCAGAAGGTGGTCAATTCTATGGGATAAAAAGATGTAGCAACAACAAATTGTCATGTTCTTCAAACATTGCAGTTAAGAAAAACAGTCACGAAGCTTTGTAATTGAAAAATCCAAAAAAGGGAAGACCAGCTAAGATTGGAAGGATTAAAGGTGGAGTAGTACCTGTAAATTTGCTTCTCCTCAAATCTTGACAGCATAGATTGTGTTACCCGCTGTGAGAACAAACCAGTAAAGCCAAATGGTTTCTCGATAATTATTCTATTCCAGCCTTGCTTAGTTTGGGCACCGTCAGCCAGTGGCAATGCTACATCAAGGAGTGCCTCTTGTGGAACAGCAAGGTAGAATATTCTGTTTGCAGCACCAATGCCCTGTGAAACAAAAATGGATGTGATGGAACTTAATGAATGGGATTTCTATTTCAAGTTTCCCAAAAGATTCAGAAACAGTTATGAGATCAAATTCTACCTCTATCTGTGCCATCCTAGAATTTAATCTAACCATCCCTTCTTTGTTGTCATGTCCAGCATCTACATAATACGTCCTCTTGAGGAACTCACTTAACTTGTCATCACAATTTTCACTGCATTCACAATAAACATCAGGACACGTTCTTCTTAGTTTGGTAAAGCCTTTTTTTTCTACGACAGTAAAACTATGTTTTTTTAAGGGACAGTAAAACTATGTTAGTGCATGCACTGAAAACTTTGGAAGAAGCAAAGTGGTGTCAAGCACCAACCTAAACAACAGATTGTTTGGTCTAAAACCATGCTTTGCAGCTTATTAAAGGCATCATAAGAACGGGTTGTCTATAATAATTATTTATATTGATCTCAAAGCTATAAAGGGAAATAGTATAGATACTAAATTTGGTGCTAACTTTTTGTCAATGCAACTGCCATGACAAAAAATATCATATGAAAAGTTGCCAAATAACATACTGGTGATCCACCCGGCAGGTCAAATTGGCTTCAATTATAGATCTTAAGCCCTCATCTGTTAATTTCTTCCTAGAATACCCAAATATACCAACATTCTGCAGCATGAAAAATGAAAATGAAACATGAAACATGAAAATGACCGTAGCTATACCAACATTATGCGGCATAAAATGAAAATGAAACATGTAACATGAAAATGACCATAGCAGAAGCTTTTCTATGTTCATACCCGAGGAAGAAAACCACTGTAATACAGAGCAAATAGTGCTGGAAAAACTTTAGTTCTTGCCAGCTCGCCGGTAGCTCCAATTACAGCAATGCAAAGAGATGGTTCATTGTTGGAGTGTCTTCTGGGCACAGCAGACTCTTCTTTCTGAACAGGAGAACTGATTTCAGAGGGGATGTGTCCCTGAGGCACTGATTTTTCCTGATCAGCTGAACTATCCAAAGTATCAGAGCTTGTATTGGCCATTTCACCTCCAGAATCTTCATAAAGGGGAAACAGTCAGGTCAACATGAAAGCATAAAGACAAAAATTCCCAAGAAGTTTGCAGTAAAAAGTAGTTGTCAGATAATATGAGAGAAAAAATTTCTCTTGAGCTTTTTTTTATTTATAATGCTAATGCAAATTGAATGTAACTATCAAAGGTATGAAGCAATCCAGTGTCAGCAGCACTGAGCAAATCATAAGGCATTAGGACAATAGTGACAACTATGATAAGCACATCTGCACATGCAAAGTAACGGAACTCAAGACAACTGATTTTCCAATAGAGTGCCAACCATAAGCAAGATGCATGTTCCAATGACTTCTCTTTTCAGTCAGAGATGCAGCCCCCAAGTAATCTGGAACTTTATCATTCCCTCGACCTCGAGCATCTAGATTTCTTTGAAGTTGACATCCATGATGCCTTTTCAATGCCTTCTGGAGTTTCAGCTTTGCAACAATCCAGCACCTCAATCCACAAGCTTGCGTTCTGAAACTTGGAGCAGGTCCTGCAACCTATGTACCGAAGCATCAAGTAGAAAGATCAGGAGATGAATGTAGCAATGTGTAAATACCAAATAATGTAAGCTAAGAAACTCCATCCCATCATCAATGCCTAATAAATCGGATGTGATAGATTCCTCTGGCAGCCACCGAATGCGAAGCAATTTTTTGCAAGACTTCAATTGACTAAGGGTGGGGAAGGGAGAATTTTTTTTTATTCATGTACTGCACAACATAAGGAAAACATAGCATTCAGACCAACAAATAATCTCTCCGTGTAATGGATTGATTATTGATGCAACAGGAGTTCTGTCAACCAATCGTGCGCAGTTCATATCAAACCAGCACACCTTTTCTGTGTGCCACATCCTCGAATATCCAAACATCAAACATGAACATGTTGGCACGTTCAATTCAATGCGCCCCTTCAGTTGTCTTGAACAATGAGACGACCCCCCCGACACACACACACACACCAGCCCACCTCCGGCGCGGGGTGGGGAAACGAGAGCATGGATGATGTTATAAACTTGCGTTCCAGAGCCAAGAAGGCCAGAAAGGTTGACAAGGATCACAAGCTGGCACGGGCGAAGCAAAGCCTCGCCAACCACCCCGTGAATCTGCGACTTCGTCTATCGTTTGAGAGAAGCAACAAAGAAGTAAAGTGTGACAACCACGGGCACGTATTGCTCCAGAACGCTACCACACAAGCGCCCAGCGAATTGGTTGAGGCATTTCATCGAGCAAGTTAAGCGCCTAAGCGCGCGCGACGAAAGGAAGAAAACCAGCAGCACTTCATCCTGGCACCGAATACAATACCACAGGCGCTCGTGGCGAGTACTCACCGGGGTGAAGCGCGAGGTCGCCAACGAGGACCAGGAGGACAGCGACGGAGCTGCGGACGCCGACGCGGCGAGCCCTGACATCTTCGGCGCTGCTCGCTTGCTTGGTGCTGCGGTACTCGCTGACTTGCCTGCTCCCTCCGTCAGATCGCCTCGACCAGTAAGGAACGAGGGAGTGAAGAAGAAATAATTGCCCGTGGCAGACGGGGAAAATGGAGATAGCGAGACTGGACCGCTGGACTCTGGAGCCGCCGTCGAAGTTAAACCGATGTAGCCGTACTGACACATTACACGTCGTGTATAGAGCAATGGGTGAATTCTTGGCCAGCCGCCTGGATGCTTTTACCAGAATTTAAAGAAAAATACTGGAGTCTCCAGGAATCAAAAGCATAGGCAATTTTTCGATGCATTTAAGCAAAAGTTCGAATTTTGCCTAGATACTTGTTGATAATCATCGAGAACTCGTGAAAGAAATGTTACAGAATCCTCAGTCAAAATGTGTACTAAATAGCACAATCTCTGGTAGCCTCTGGACTCTGCTGAATCCTTGCATCTCTCCTGAAGCTTTCTTTGTTCCATTCCACATAGACCCCGAGAAAGCACTTCAACCGAATATTCAAAGCGACATGACAAGCTTCTGCTGCTCGTTTCCAACCAATAGACGCTGGATATCCTTCCAGCACTTATGTACTTCTATTTTTATTGCTAATACAATTATACAATATGTCAATCATAAATTCATGATAACTTACAAGTTAATCCAAGCTTTACCCTAACTTGTACAACACTGAAGCACAATATGAGACTTGAGACCAGAAGATGTTAATACAACTTGTACAGAGAGGACTGACCCTCCAGTCATCTGCAAATGCGTTGCGAGTTTGCAGCCAGCAGTCCCACATTCACGGATCATCAGTTCATGGAGTGACCCCAACTTGGGTGATGTTACTCTCGTGGCCTAGCAAGCCAAAGAGAACTCAGGGCGCGCAAACGTGAAAAGTAGTCATGGATTGCAAGAAGCGCGCGAGCGGCTTGTCGGATTGTCAGGATGCGTTGCATCTGATGCAAGGTCTGCTGTCGTAGATTATCGGCCTAACGCAAAAAAGAAAATCAAAAGTCTTCAGAGCTAGAAACATCAAGAGCTAAATACATATTGCTTAGAAGTAAGGAAAATGTATCGAATCAAATGACAGGATCTCCCTATCACAGTCAATAACAGAAACAACAAAACTAAATGTTTGACAGGGTTAGAGGTATCAGAAAGTTTACCTGACGAAGGAAATTCTCGAGTGTGCCAAGTTTACCCATGGCCATAGCCATTTGACCCATATAGTTTGCCACGTTTCCGGAAGATCCTGATGGACCAAGGGACCCAGCCAGCGTTTCTGCCAAGGACTGCTGCAATGCTTCCATTCCTTGTGACAATGCATCCTCAGCCTGCTGGGAGGATTGCTGGAGATTGGATAGCCCCATCAATTGCTGCTCAGTTAGAGGCTCAAGCTGATTCACAAGGAGCTGCAATTTTACAAAAGTGTAAGGAATAATTCATCTTGAAGCAGAAACACCCATTGAATGGTACGAATTATAAAATAAAAAACTCACGCCCTACTAAGGAAAATACTCCTGCAATAGGCTAGAATTGTAAGTTGTTTTGGGCATCTACACAGCACTCATTGTCGAGGAAAATCTATTAGAGTTACAAATTGGTAAATGCCATTGGATGTGACAACAGCATGCAGGACCTTGAGATGCATGGCATCATGTCATTGATACATTGGGGGATATCTTGTAAATTACTTTTTTTTAACTTTAAATACAGCAGGGGAGACCCCCACTGTAAGGATTTTATTATATTAAAGAAACAACAAAAAGAACACCACCACTGTACAAAGAGGGAGTGGGGGACAAGAGGAGCCAGGGGGCTACAACTAAGAGAACTGCACAGGCTGTACAATCAGAAACAAGCCAACAAAGTTAAGCTAGGTCAGTAAGAAGGGAGAGGAAGTTAGGTCTTTTAGAGTGGCAGCAGCGAAAAGACTGCAACTGGGCTTCTTCCAGGAAATATTGCTTCCAATTATTAAAGGAACCTGATATCTGTGATGATATTGTGCAATATTACCAAAAAAAGCGGCACATTATGAAAGTAGTTGCGCTGATATATAGGTGATAACAACCCTTACAAATTGGTGGTGGTGGTGATGCGTGTGTGTGTGTTGTTGTGGTGGTGGTGGTGTGTGGGGGTGTCCATCATTTTGAGGCAGATACTGTAACTATTTGAAATCAAAGGCGGTGTGATATAATTTGATCTACATCATATGCATGCACCTTTAGAAGCTCAGACGAACGGAAACCCCCAAGCCACAAGAAGCACCTTTCAGCAGGTGTTTTCCACATGCCGGAAAGTATATGGAAAACATCAGCCTTTGCAGCAATGCCCTTCAGCCTGAATATCTCATCATAATGTGCCATTATCCCATCGACGATAAGACGGAGGTCACTATCACTTGCATGAGCATTTACTGCAGTCCTCAGCTCATTTATCTGCTTATTTTGTTCCTCTTGCCATCGAGAATATTCTAAATCGAAGGTCATAGCTCCTGCAGAGATGAGCTTACTTCATCAGCTATACTCCTTTGAAGCACTTGAGCATTACAATGATATAAGGTTGCAAAAGCAATTACAGAAAGGAGGGGGGGGCATGAGAGAGAAAGAGAGTTTACCATTTGCACTCATAGCATGAGTTTGATCTCCGGAACTGGATATGAAGATTCCCTACAATAATTGTCCAAGAAACAAAATAAAAAGAACCGTCAAAGACTTGTCAGCAAAAAAAAAGTGCTCCAATATCAACCAAATAAACACACCTGTTGTCGAGCTTTCTGGAGTTCTTGCTCCAGGCTTGCAAGTTTTAGCTTACTACTCTCTAGCTGTTGCACATATGCCTTTGAAAACAACAAATATTAGAAGGGGCTTATAGCAAATAAATAAACCTGAAAGTGAACAAAGAAAAACTAGTGGACACACTTCAATCTACATAATCCACTTGCTTATCTCTAGATTGCAACAGATTAGGAAACAAGGAGTGCCTTGGTGGTTACTTGATTCTCAAAGCCAAGGTATCTTTTGTCTTTTTCTCAATTTTTCAAGAATATCATGAAACATGGAAGAAAATGATGGGATCCAAACTTCCGAAGTTCTAAATCACACACACTTGCAGGCTATCAGAGTAACTGCACCACCATACAGTATTATCTCCCTGATGCACAAAATCAAACTTATCCATACTACACAATCACGCGGATGACAGGAATTGACACCGACTTGGGCTCACACCTCTCTACCTAACACATTACACGCCCAGCATCTGTGTTGTGTGCATTTGTAGAAAAAATCAATATGGAGTTCTCTTTTTTTCCCTTGAAAAGACAGGTATCATTATATTAAGAAAAAAAGGCAGAGGTCTCATTTTCACGAAGTCACTGAAGTCATTCTTTGATGCAGAGTTGTTTTGCGTAGAAGCTCACAAAAATGTGCAAGCGTAGAAATAGTGATAAAATAAACGCGATATCACATACAGTGCACGTAAATTGGTACAATTTAGACTCTATTTAAGAAACTGGAATTATATAGGTGCCAATATTCGAGAGTTGATGTATCAATCTAATGAAACCGAATTGTTAGCCTAATTTACAAATTAATTATCAGGAGAATATTAGGGCCTGTAGTTGACAGGACAGATTAAAGCACAAGTAGAATGGACTGTGGTTTGCTTCACCCCTGATGACAACTAGGCAGATAAACCTCACAGTCCTGACTCACACTAGCGCATATACATGCATGCATCAGGGAGTGACACACACTGCACCAAAAATGTAGGAATAGCTCCCAGATGTGCACAGTCATGCTAATAATACCTTTTTTCTCAGCCGACTTTTTCTTGCTGCCTCACGATTCTGAGCAAGCCGTCGCAAAACCTACAGAATACCAAATGCGTTATCTAGATACCATCATTGTGAAATGGTAACAAACACTAAAGAGTACAGAAGACAGGAGATAAAATTAATACCTTTTGGTCCATAGGTTTGTCAGATCTGTCAGACCGATCAGATGAATTAGAAGGCAGGACCATAGCTCCACCCTGTCCATTTTCTAACTGCAGAGGTTGATTAAGATAAGTTACAAACATTCATTGTTTATGAATGAAACTATAACGTAAAGGAAAAAATGGCATGCAGTGGTATATAGATGATGGACTTTTTAATTGGAATGCACAGACCATAGATGAGTGGAATAAATAACATATAATGACCATAACCACTTTACATGCATCTCTCCAAGACCTGTATCATTAGATGTCCCACAGAGAGAAATTGAAATTTTGTAAAATAATCTGACATGAGTAACTAAAATTAGGAGATTGTCCATTGTGCCTTCAAGGCCCCAAGTCCAAAATCAAATTGTTCTATTCAACTAGTAATCAATTTTCTTAGCAAAGTTCAAATGTAAAATAGGCAAGATGTGTTTAGTGTGAACAAATGACGCAACGTCAGTTAATGCTTGCAAACTCAAAAGAAATCTAACAAATTTGGAGCTACATGCAAACAACTTGGTGCCAAACCGTAATACAAGATCACTACAGATGAAACAGATAAAAAGCAAGAACAGGAAAGAAGGACAATACAAGAAAAATAACTTGTTTCCTAGGGATCTAGACCATCTCAAATCACCAAGTGATTTATAGGGGTTAATTCGTTCATACAACATCCTTACTTTAGTCAAAGTTCATTTATAGAGATTAATAGTATTCAAGTGTTCATACTTCAAGGCACTCCAAGTGAAACTTCCCACTTCATGAGACCAAAAACACAGATTGCCAAATTTGAAAGCTGATATCTAATTTGTATCTATTTCTTTTGACACGAGAGCATCAGAGTACAATATTCTGGAAATGATTAAACAGACATGGCAAAAAATTATGTGCATCAGAGAACATGAGCTCAGCGCATCATTTATTGGACACAGTCCAAGTCTTCGCATCCTATTTAGACTATTAGAAAGATCAGAGTCTAGGCACAGTACCAACATTATGTTCTCTGCTCCCCTAACAGTTCACGAATGATCAATCATAAAGAACACAACATATAACAGACAAAGAAAAGAGGGGCTACCCTTTGATTCTTATCATCCATGTCTACAACAGTCGAGGTGTCAGTCCTCGAACTAGCATCTGCCATGCCGAGCACTCGCCAGCTTTGTTGTCTCTTTTTTGCTTTCCTTATGGTAGGTTGATAAGCCAGCCTGCAGTTAGCACAATCCACAGTCCAGTGATCTACCCGCTGGACAGAGAAGCAACATATCCATCACAAGAAACAAATTTCCAGGTATATCAGCAACATAATAAATTATATAAAGGTACAAATGGCAAAAATGATAAAGTCGTACCTTTACCAAAAACAGCAACTGGTCAGAGTTAACTGCATGTTCCTGACCTGGAAAGATTAAGAAAAGGCATTTAGCTGTGGTTAACTGAGAATCATGGTGGTGACACCTTCCCCAATGCCACCTCCTGTCAATAGCAGCTCATAATTCCAAAGACAATCAGTACAGCAACACATCATTTGGACGCAAGGTATGCAAAACAGCAAGAATGGTTTTTCTAGTTCCAAACGTTAATTACTAGGGGTAGTCCTAAATTTCCCAGCTCATGCAATTATGCCCCAGCTTGCTTAGCTTTGTGGAAGCAAAAACCATCCTAAAAATTCAAAACCACGAGCCCAAGCATCGATGAGTGTAGCTACAGTAAATTTGCCAATAACCCAATCACTCACACGAGAAATGTAAGATCAGAAAGTGCTAATAAATTAGGGGAAGCATAGAATACAGGTGATCAAGAGAACAAGAGTCTGAGGGAGGAGCTCATGCAGGTTCGAAGGAGGTAGCCTGGAAGCCGACAGAGCAGCTTTCAATAACTCAACTCGTAACGGAAAGCCGAAGTGATGAATCACCTTCCCAAATGATATTGCCTTAATAGCAGCAAGAAGCTCTCCGAAGCAAGTACGAAACGAGGTAAGCAGGGCAACACAGTGACACAGGGGACGACTCAGACGTGGGGTATGGGGATTCAATTCCAAAATTACTCCGTATTTCAGAAAAATAAATGCCCGCGCACCTCGGCTACCACGAAATCGTCATGTTGTGTCAACTGAGGTTGATCTTTCGCTCTGGAGTAGAAGAACCTAATCGAGCCGTGCATATAACGCTAGGCTACTACGGTTCTCAGACAACAAATCCGCAACTAACTAAACACTCGGAATCCTTCCCTTCAGCAAGCAAAAGAAGCTCTTATAAGAGTTAAAAGAATCAACCCAGCAAGCTAGGGTTACTTACCGAAATGAAGAAATCGAACCAGGTCCGGATGGATCTCCACTCCGCGCAAGTCCAGTTCCAGCAGAGGGGCGCGAGGAGCAGGTGAGCAAGTGCTATCTACAAGAGACGACTTTCGGAGCTAAGGGGATGGCTTAGTTTATCCGGTCGCCGGCGGTTAGGTTGCCGATGACGAGGCACCAAAAGCTATGATGGGGAGAAGCAGAGGAAGTTCTAAGCAGGAAAGGGATGGAATTGGAGCGGCAGAAATCAGCGAAGACGAGTAGCGGAGAGTAGGAGGTGGAAGAAGAAGGCTGCACGGGGATTTCTCCCGCACAGTGAATCGGGAGAGCCGCCACCGCTCCGTGACATCACACCGTGGACTCACGCGATGGGGGGCGGGGCGGGGAAGCGGAAGAAAAGGCCTCTGCAGGCTGCAGCACGTCTCCTTCCTCCCCTCCGTTTGCTGGTTTGACAAAAACAATTTCTCTCGTCTCTGGTTTGACGAAACATTTTTTTCTCATCTCGGCGTACCACCATGTGGTAAAGAATAACGAAAGTATACAAAGCATCTCCTTTGTAAATCCACTTTTTTAATCTTGTTCTTGATACGGTAGAAAAAAACAGATACTCCCTGCATTTTAAATTAAAAGGTCAATTCCATAGACATTAAATAAGCTGATATGGTATAATATAAACTAAAAGAGATAATGAAAATTTCGTAGGATAAAGTGAATTTTATAGAGATGAAACTTTTATATTGTTTGCAAGTAACCTTTGGAGCATCTCCTTTGTAAATCCACCTTTTAATCTTGTTCTTGATATGGTAGGAAAAAAAAAAGAACTCAAATACTCCCTCCATTTAAAATTAAAGGTCAGAATCAATGGAGATTTCATGGCCATTAAATAAGCTAACATGATATAACAAAATTGAAGAGAGACCATAAATATTTCATATGATGAAGCGAGTTTTATGGAGATGAATTTTTTGCAATTCGTGGAAGTCTTGAAAATTAAGATATGAAACTGACCTAAGACATTTTTTAAAAGTCGACCTAAGACATTTTGGCTATCTAGAAAAATCAAAATGTCTTGTTCATCATCTTCTCTATACCAAACGTCTAGTCATTTGGCGCATTGAAAAGGGTCTATTTTCATCTTTCTACCAAGTCAATCTATCTCAATAGGAAAATTTTACTCTGGGACACCGAACAAAGGTGGAATGCCAGTCCACATCACTGACATAAAAAATTGCTAGATACTATTGTGATTTCATAATGGTACCAAGCAAATTTTGATGTTAGCGTTGTACAATGACATGATTGTTGAATAAATATTTGAGCCACAAATTGTCTAGATGATTGCGCAACTAGTTATACATTTTGTTGCAGTGTATAGACATATTTGCTAGTAATAATACTATAATGTTTCAAAATTATGTGTCTTGATTGTTTGATTTGAAAGGTTTTAGCCAAGATATAGAAAGATATGGGTACCAAACACAATCGGGGGTGTAGCTCATATGGTAGAGCGCTCGCTTCGCATGCGAGAGGCACGGGGTTCGATTCCCCGCACCTCCATTCTTCCGTTTTGCAGCTTTGGGGCTGCAGCCTGCAGTTCTGTTACACTGCGGCGGGATGGGGAGATCCATCAATAGCGGATGGCGGGAGTGGGCGATTCGTGTTATCCACTTCTCCAGGCTCCAGCTTCTCTTTTGGCGAACGCGATGTCGTTTGTGCTGGTTGGTGGTGGCTGGTGGGGCAGAGGCAGGTTCCAACTTCCAAGTCCAGCTGCCCATTGGTATGCGATGCGCCGGTGGTAGAATGAAACAAGTGTAAAACTTGGCCTCCTGGACCAAAATTCGCCAGCCGCTGCCTTCCCCAAGATGACGGAATGCCTGCCTCTAGAGAGTCCAGCCACACAGAATTGAGACGATCTGAATCCTAGCAGTGAATGAAGCACGACAAGAAGAAAACCCATTTTCTTGGTCGCCGAAAAAACGGTGGGCCGTCCTCAAAAAAAAAACGGTGGGCCGTCTAGTCTAGATTTCGGCAGTGAGATAACGGGCTTGGGTTTTTTTTCCATCGCTCACCGGTGTTCTTGTCTGCCCAGTGCCTGGGCTAAGGATGTTCAGTTCAGTTCGGCATGGCCATCGTCCGGTCCGGTCCGGTCCTCTTTTAAGAATCCCCGCAAATATCTCCATCCCGTCGTCTGAGTCATGAAGAGCTCCGTTCGCGTGTCATTAGACCGGCTTGATCCGTGTCTTTTTTTTTCATCTGGAATAGTATTTTTCTTTTACAAATTTCTCCAGCATCTATCCTACTAATGCATCATCTTTTCTTTCCTACGTCCACACAAGAAAACGACCCCCCGCTGAGATGTCCCCTCTAAGTCCACCAAAAAAAGTGTACCCAGGAAAACAACACATTTCAAACGAACCGTCCAGATGCACTCTAAGCCTTCTCTCTCCTTACTCATTATACAATCGAAGGGCCTGGATTGAGTGTATCAAATCTCCTTATTCTCCCCCACACCCACGTCATGCAGCCCCCACCGAGTATTATGAACGCCACGCCACCAAAAATCACGGAACTTCCCGAACACGCACGGAGGCGGAGGAGGCGCTGCTACTCCTGCCACGGTCGGCGGAGGAGGCGAGTAGGCGGAGGAGGCGCTGCTACTCTTGCCCCGGCCCCAACCGACGCTTCACACCACCGCAAGGTAAGCGCCCTACCATCCAGAGATCGATCGAGACCGCAGATTTCTAGCCTCTGAAAGTCCCTGCTCCCGCACAGCCGGGGCCTTCCATGGAGAGCCGCCGCCGCCCTCGCCGTTCGAGTGGGAGGCCACGGCGCGGCGCGAGCAGATCATCCGCCAGGAGGTGGAGCGGCGGCTCATCGAGGAGGAGGTCCGCCGCGAGCTCGGCCGCTTCCACGGCGGTTTCGGCGCTGTCCCGTTCGTCGGGCCTGACGGCCCCACCATCGTGCCGCCACCACCCCCAGGCCCGTTCTTCATGCCCGATGGCCCATTCATGCCGCCAATGCCGCTGCCCCAGATGCCGGTGGGCATGCATCCGAACTGCTCGCCACCGGCTTTGTTCGGGTCGTGGGAGGGGTTCGGCCCTCAGCAGCTCCCGGGATTTGGGCAACCGATGCTCCCCAATGAGGCGAGAACGAGGCCCCTGCCGCCTCTGAAGCCGAGGCATCAGCTCCAGCTGCGCGAGATCGCGCCCAGCGAGGGCTCTGAGGTTTGGGAGCACACTAGCCGTTCATAGTGCGCATGCATGACGCATGTTCAGATTCTTTTCCGCATTTGGCGTGAAAGGCGCTACTGGATTACTACTTTTGAAATTTTTCTTTTTCAATTTCTTATTGCACTTCGGTGTTATTCTCGCTTCAAAAACGTGACGCACTTGCTTTTCTCGTCATTTAAGTGCCAATGGTAGCCATTTTCTGTAAGTGAGGACAATCTAGAAAGAACATTGCCCTTAGATCAGAAGAGTACTTGAACTCTGAAGTCAAATATTACCATTTCGACAGATCTGGTGAACTTGTGTGGAGAACTAGAGAAGATCGAATATTCCCTTTGGAGAAAAAAAGAATGGTAGTGATAGAAGTGAACAAGCTTTGATTCCTGTGACCACCGTTTGTTTTAAGTTGAGAACTATAAAATTGTTAGCACCGAATCAGGAAGGGTCAGATTAAGATGACACAGAAATTTATTCCCTGTGGATTTCAGTTTCTTAATTATGCAATAGTTTCCTTGTCACCTTAATCTTTTTTCCCTGCCTTTTCATTGGTTATGCATCTTTCTGTTGATTGTTTTGTGCGGTTGTGCCCATGCTGCCATGCATTCCTTTAGTTGGTGTCACATAATTCAATCAGGCTCCAGTGAGTTCTACATTTGGTTTGCTACATATGCACAATGCACCTCGATTTCACTAATTCTTCCTAATTTTTTTAGGTTCTTTCATCAGAAATGAAGGTTTCTGGTGTGAAGAGGAAGGCAGATGCGAGTTCTGCAACTACTAAACCAACAAAACTACAAACTGCTGCCAGGGACTGGAGCTGTGCACTCTGTCAAGTGAGCGCAACCAGTGAGGCTGGTCTGAATCAGCATCTTGAAGGAAAAAAGCACAAGGCAAAGCTGGTTCAATGTGAGCGATCAAGGTGAACGATGCTTATCTTTGGATATAAATCTGGTCGATGGCGATAAAGTTGTCTGGTCCTCGTGCTTTTGGCCTGTTGTGACGGTGGCCGCGGTTGTCATAGCGTCGTTCTTCGTGGCAATCATCATTGCGACGTGGTCTGGTGGTTGAGGTGGTCAGAGCTCGGCGGAGCCGCTCGGGACGTGGTCGACGTGGTCCGTGGTCGATGTTGTCGGAGCTCGGCGGAGCCGCTCGAGACATGGTCGACGTGGTCCGTGGTCGACGTGTCGGAGCTCGGCGGAGCCGCTCGGGACGTGGTCGACGTGGTCCGTGGTCGACGTGGTCGGAGCTCGGCGGAGCCGCTCGGGACGTGGTCGACGTGGCTGCTCGATCAGTTCAGTGGTCGGAGGGCATGTACCTAGCTCCATCGCATGGGGAGGCAAAAGCTCTCGGACATGTCCAGCTGAGGTCGGGTGCAGTCGGAGATCTTCCTTGCTTGAGTGAAGGTTACGGAGTAGCCTGATGGCGATTTAGTAGATTGTATGTGGTCTTCATATTTGGAGTTGGAGAAGCACACGGAGTCCTTCCAGGTTGTCGCTGTACATTGTGTATGAATACATACATAACACGAACACCCATAGTTGGCCCACTTGCTTGTACTCCGTCTTCTTGCATGGCTGCTTGACGTGATCTTCATCGTGCATGTAATGGCAAGCCATCATGCAAATCTGGTGTCGTAGCTCCATGTGGATGCCGCGTGGAGACAAAAAAAACCAGACGCTTGAGTCAAAATGGGACCATCTACGCCATCGGGCCGGATCGAGATCGATCCGATCGACTCTTGTGATATGTCATAGATGTTAGGGCTGCTGCTTGTCTTAGTGCACCGTTACTTCTTCATACTCCTCAATCCGAATCATGTTGACGAAGTTGCGTGGCTTTGGCCGAGGTCGATGTATAAAACACAGATCCGAGCAACGTTGTATATTGTACGCGTAGTTGGAAGCAGTGTTTCGCAGGCCGTAGGGCTGAGCCTGGTAATTCTCCATCAAGGCTTCGCACTCGGAGAGCCGGAGACCCGTTGCGGGGGCTGGTCGGCGACGAACGGAGCGCCCTTCAGGAGTAGACGTGACCACGAGATCCGTACCGAGTTGTGCAGGACGACTAGCCCGAGATGGTCGGGTAGATCTGTTGTGGGGAGTGGTTACCTGCTCGGTAGGTTGATTTTGAATCGAATCTACCAGAGCTAGGGTTTCAACAAGCTTGGTGCCGACCTGATCGATGGAGTCGAGCAGGTCGGTGTTGTCGATCTGCCTCCCTTTGTAGCGAGGAAGCGAACGACGAGTTGTCGGCGTGGCTGAAGACGATGCTAGTGTGGCCGGAGCCAGATCCAACGTGGTTGGAGCCGTAGCCGATGCTGGTGAAGCAGTGGTCGACGCAGATTGGATCTGCGCCTCCTCCGTGATCATGGCGATGAAGTTGTCGGAGCCAGTGGTCCAGGTGATCTGGCCGATGGTGAACGTGATGCCGTTCGGCGTAGCCATGGAGCCGGGGATGATGACCATCTTATTCGTCTGGGGAGCAGTACGCACACCCCCTACCTGGCGCGCCACTGTCGACAGAATATGGTTGGCAGTCTACCTAGGGGTATGCCCAAGGTAGTAGATTATCGATAGACAGGTGCGCAAGCTACGAACGAGATGGTGACGCAAGATAGACACGAGGTTTTATCCAGGTTCGGCCGCCGTGAGGGCGTAATACCTAAGTCCTGCGTCTGATTGTATTGTTGTACTTCAACATGAATCGTGCTGATAGTTTCGCAAGGACATTATTATATAGGGAGTTCCCAGAACACTACCGGTGGATCAGTGATCGCAAGGTGTGGCAGAGAAGAAAGAAACAGCTAGGACAGATTGGAAGAAAAAAATATATAAGACATGAGGAAAGGTATGTTTGAAGGGTTATCATCAAGAAATGGCATATATACCTACATTCCACACTAATGCTAGAATGTTCAATCTCGCCATGGCACTATCAAATTCTAGGTGGAGCGAAAATATTTATTACTAGAAGCGAAAATACCCTAAATATGTAACAAAGGTTTCGGGTCATAAATACTGATAAGTGTCGTAAAATTTGGTTCAACTTTTCTATAAAAAAACAGTAATTTGATTTATGTACATCAAATAAACAACTGATCTTCTGCGTCAGCAAATTGGGAGGCTTTCTTGTCTATAATTTCATGAAGTCGTGGGACGGCGTAAGATTGCCACGGATCACCACGGTAAGTCTATATAGTCTCCAACTATATTCCGTACACTACATACAATACTAACATATTATATTCTATACCATGCGCAGCTATCATCTGCACTGAGGAAGGAATTCTTGGCTGACATTTTGACGAGTCCTGCAAACGAATATTTCAACATCCCTGAAGATGCGCAACAAATGATAAAGGACTTACGCTAAATGTAACTTAGGCTATAATATAATAATTAGGTAAAGGTTAAACTACAAAATAACAAATTGAATGTTTTTTATGATCATTCTCTAGATAAAATCGTTGCGTTAGCACGGACATTATACTAGTTCCTCCAAACTATCCAAATTTCTCCAGAACTCCTCCAAGCGAACGGGCCCACAGTAGTGTACGTAGTAGAGCATGGGCATGGGCATGACATCCGTTTTTACCGATCCTCAGTCCCTCTCGCGGCCAAATGCAATGCAACCACGACTCGCCATTTTTCACCGTCCAAAGTATTTAAAGCTCGATCAGGCTGCCTTTGCCTACCTGGTCAGTCCAACATATCCATCACGCACCCACTAGCTAGACAAGTGATACATGTATTATGCTCGTTCTCTGACGGTCCAGCCCAGGCACATGCCCACATCAGACTCGGCCAGCCGGTCGGCCCGGCCGGTTCAACTGCCCCCGCTCGACTCCATCGGTTGAAAAGAGGAATCCCCTCTTTCCGGAAATCGGTGCAAAAAGGGGCAGGATTCCTTCCTGCTCGACATGGATGACCAGCTAGCGGCTAATAAAAAACTCTCTGCGGCTTCTAGAAGGTCAGCCTGCGTGCGGCATGGCATACAGATACAATTATCTAGATGCATGTTCACCGTTCATGACAGTGACAGGGACGGATTAGCTATTTAGTTAGGCTCACGTCCATATTCATAGCTCTCCGATCCAAATGCCATGCTCTTACAGAGCCATGTGCAACATGTCCAAGCTTCCGAGCCATATATCCGTGAAACTACGAGAGATGGCTCTGGATACCATTTGTAACGTCTTAGACCTGGCACACAGCACAGGCCCACTCTACCAAAAGGTGACCTCCACCTACGTAGCAACCCATTTATGCTTTCGTTCTCACTTTACACAAAACGATTAACCTAAAGTTACTGCACGTCCTTAGCTTGAATATTTAAGTCGGTCTGACCATCCTAGAATTCACGACTAAAGGCGGGCGCAACAACGCTACAGGACTCGCGTGAACAGTGACAGACAACATTTCTGTACCGCAACAGTACCCGCTTTTGGCCCGGCCCACCTTGGTGCTACAGTGCCCCACAGCTACAGCTCGGTCACATCCCACGTGCGCAGTTACAGTGCCTTGGCCCAACCGGAATTCGGTCCATTTAGATGGGAATGTTACATTAAGGCACTCCGCGTGTGTATGTATCGGAAAATATGTGAAAACTCTCTTTTCTTAAGAGAGAGATGTGTTATTATTGAACGAGACTATGTCTTGTTCGCTTATCTTATAATCCGTCTTTTTTGTTTTTTCAGCAAAAACAATATTTTTTTCTTACAACAAATCCGCCGGAATAATGTTTCGGCTTGTTTTTTCAGCGAAGCGAACGAGACCCGTAGGCTTGTGAGATTTTGACAGAAATAATTTTTGAGCAGCTCATCTAGTGAGTACAGTACTAGCAATCAACCTTGACTGGTTGACTGACTTGCCTTTGTATATACACGCTGGGCATCCATCTGGACCGTACCTTAATTAAGCTGTCTCTTTCGGCTTTGCCTCGTTTGTCCACATCCGCCGCGCCGGTTACCTAGTAGTTGGGTTATTTTTGCGCGTGATTTGATATAACGTAGACAGCTGACTTGCTTGTTAATTAAACCATTTGATCTCTGGCGCCACCTGCTGACCCGTAGAGACGTGATCCATATCATATCAGCAGCTGATTAATTGACAGAAAGTGATTTTTGAGCAGCTCATCAAAGTGAGAGTACAGTACTAGCAATCAACCTTGACTGGTTGACTGACTTGTAAAATTTGTATATACACGCTGGGCATCCATCTGGACCGTACCTTTATTAAGTTGTCTCTTTCGGCTTTGCCTCGTTTGTCCACATCCGCCGCGCCGGTTACCTAGTAGTTGGATAAGGGTTTTTATTTTTGCGCGTGATTTGATATAACGTAGACAGCTGACTTTTAATTGTTATTTTTAAACCATTTGATCTCTGGCGCCGCCTGCTGACCCGTAGAGACTCAAATTTCCATATAGAAAATATCAGCAGCTGATTAATTAAAGGTTTTCTATTCTCGTCAGGAGTCTCACGTCATGGACCTAAATTTCAAAAAACTCCGTCCCGCTAGTTGAAGCAGCGGACAAAATTGAACTCGAGATTTGAATGCCATGCATGATCTTTGAAAAGGTACGAACTAAATTATATACTTTACCCTAATTAAGGCGTCGTCTCTCGTCAGGCGTCACGTCATGGCCTAACAAACTCCGTCCCGCTAGTTGAAGCAGCGGACAAAATACTCTCAGATTTGAATGCCATGCATGATCGGAACAGGTACGAACTCTGGCATCGTCTTCAGATATGCATGCAATGGATGTAGTACTTATATGATCCGAATCCGAACCGTGACGAACTCAACCACGCCACCGCGCGCCGGCCGGCCGGCTTCTCCTTGTTGATCCGGCCGGCCGAAAGTCTACGCGGCTATCTCAGCAGGAATATCTATGCGTAGAAAACTAGAAATGAGGATTCGATCACGGAAAGAGGCACCACATTCCACTATTCCATGCTGCTACTGCGACAGGACTCTGGCTCCAGTCCGTGATTGTTTCAACAGCGATGGGAGACCGGAGACGTACGGTGTGCTAGCTCTTGCTGGTTCTACGCACGAGGGTTCATACGCAACGCGCGCAAGTGGGGCGCCTGCCGCTGTCCTGAGCTCCAGAGTCCAGACCTTTTTGCTGCGCGGGACAGGGACCGCGCCTTGACTAGGCCACCATGATCGATCGATCGATCGCTACAGGCAGATCAGGTCGCGGGAAGATCAGGCAGTTCATCGTTGGCTCCGGCTGGCTGGCCCTGGCCGGCCGGTCAATTCGAGTTGCCTCTTCTTTTCAATTCCTCGATCACCATCTGTCGCGCGGATAGATAGATTCCCAGATGGCATTCGTGTTGTCTCTCTCTTGAGCAGTCGACCTCGAGATCCCGCCACTTGACCTTTCCGACTTTCCGTCCTGTTCCAACCGTTGCTTCCTGTCTGCTACTCCGTACTTACGCATACGTACGTTTGCTCTCCATCGATCGTCCGCGCGCCGGGATGATGATGGAAGACGGCGTGTGGCGTCATTGTTGGTTGCGCGCGACTTCGACCGCACGTGCTGGTGCTGCCGACACAAATTGATCGACGCCACTGTTGCGCGCCCGTCCAATGCATGTGTCGCTGCCTCGGTGGCACATGGCAAGAAGCAAGAGCAAGACACGCGGCTTCTATTGCCAGGGCATGTTCGTTTGAACTTATTAGTCGGCTTATCAGTTAGAATTTACAGCATTTTTCTCTCATAATAAATCAGCTTCAGTCGGCTTATCAGCCGGCTTTAATACCAACCGAACAGACCATTTTCACTTGGCACACGTATTGGGGGTGCTAGAGTTTTGCTGGAGCTTCCCTCCTGTGCAAAATCATGCACGCGCGCACGTACACATCAGGTATGTATGGAGTATGAACTGGCATGGATGGGAGTCGCCGCTCAAATTAAGAAGAAGACAGTCGTCTTGAGCGAACTCTTAACTTCTGACCTCGCATATGCATGTGTGCGGGAGCAGGGACGCCAGCAGAAACTACCTCGCAGGTGCCTGTTTAACAAACAAGCGATACAGATATGTGGCAAATGGAGACGCAATCTTGGACCAGAAGTATTACTACTTTAAGTACCGTCTATTTTTTTCGGGTTAAAGAGAGCTTTAATTAACCAAGCGAAAGATTACAATAATTGTTCAGGAGATCCATGATGCACACAAGCGCCTGTTCTCTCCAGGTGCCCGTACGAATATTTCGCCTAGCTAAGTGAGCCAGCTACTTTAAGTACCGCCTATTTGGATTATGCTCCATTTGGATCAATTAGTTAGGCCAGTCTTAGTGATGTTTCATCAACTAGTTACGCAATGTAAATTTATAAAAAAAACAATAACGGTTATGATACCAACTAAGTATAATTAGATTTTTCATTAATTATATTTTTATAATATTTCTATTTGATGTCATAAATCTTTGTAATTTTTTTTATAATTTTAGTTAAATTTAAGATGTTTTGATTCTCCTAAAAAGTTAAAATAACTTATAATTTGGATTGAGCGAGAACATACCACCGGAGTGTTGGAGACTTAGCATGTCATCAGCCAGTGCATCTGCTCGACCGGTTGCCATTTTCGAGGCCAAATCAAACTATCTCAGTCTATATACGTGACCTTTGTTTTTTTTATTATATATATGATGCGTTGAATCTGATCAGGTCGTCATACAAATAGGCATCATATAGCGGGTGGCCGGCCTGGTGGGGTACGTGCCTCGTGAAGATCTATTATTGGTGTACCGCATTGTAAGCGTGCACATGGTGTTTGACCTAGCTAACGTCTATGATGAGAGAGAGGACTGTGAGGAACTCAAGTCGTACTAGTAAAACAGATGGCATAGATTCATGTACTTGTGTCATCATTGATTATTTTAGTATCATGCGGTCGAGGACTGACGAAGTGCATGGTAGTAAAGTTGCCACATGTACTGGGGGCAAATCCCCAAACTCCACCTTATTAGACTACAATGAAGACTCAAGCTTATTAGTGAAGGAACGAAAAAGTCAAGATAAGGATGAACTACTACAGTGTGTTTGATTTGAGAAAAATAGTGGTCCATCATCTTCTCGGTTCTCACCTTTTTTTGTTCTGTGGTTTATGAAATAGAACTAAGTTAATCATTATTCTTCATCACCTCATTTCTCACTAGCTAATAATTAATACAAGCATAAGGGATAACATAATTCCATTAGACTGAACTGATGATGCACCCCCTCATCTAGGACGAATTAGCATTTCGAAGGGCCCACCAAATTCCTAAGGTATAGGAGGAGGCTCTAGAAAATCTTAAATGTGACACCAGGGTTGATGTGATGATGTTGTGCCTAATTGGGACCCAGCGAAGGTTCCCCTTGAGACTCTTTAAGGGCTTGTTTGTTTCTATTTCAGCTAAGCTGAAACAAACAACTCAGCTCTTAACTTAGCTTTTAAAAAGCTAGTTTATTATGAGGAAATAGATTAAAAGATGAAATTCACAATGAGAGAAGTTTTTCTGATTTTTTATGTGCGAGAACTAAAAATTTATTATAAAAAGCTAATAGCAAAAGGCAAACAACCAGTTGCCAAAAGACAACGTTAACTTTTGAGCTAAAAGCTTGAAATCTGAAGCTCAAACAAACGGCCTAAGAGCATGCCCAATGTGTGTATCTCTTGTTCCCAATGATAGGGTTGGGCATTTGGGCTACCCAAAAAAATTGGGTCGGGTAGTTGACAAATCGGGATTTTTGCCCCAAAAAGGCATTATTACCCGAAATTTCAGGTACCTGATAATTTGGGTTTGGGTTCGTTTTTACTCGATATACCCGAAATTGACAAGACCAACCATTTTGGAAGAATCCTAGTAGCATATTAAAGTAATAAACAATGGTCCTTCAAATCACATCATGTCTTCGTATCAATTAACAACAAATCAACTATCAAGTTAGCATAAATCTACATTAATTCGTACCAAATAATAGATTTATATTGCACTGAACAACTTCATGTCTTCGTATTAGGCATAAAAGAGCAAAAATTTGAGATATTTCAAGTAATTTGGGCAGTTACCCGAGCCACCCAAACTAAATTCGGGTTTTTTACAATTACTATCCGAAATTGTGATCGGGTAATTCGGGTTCGGAAATTGGATATCAGGGATTTTGCCCAACCCTAAATGTACTACACCTCGCCAGCTGAATGTTGAGTATATAAGTGCACCTTATTAGACAATGATACACGGGTTAGAGAGCACATAATAAATGGATGCACCTGAAACGGTATGATCATATAGCATACAGCTGTGTCAGTGTACTGTGTAGATCAAAGTCATCGAGGGCTTAATTATAGTGGCTCCGTTCGTTTGGCTGAATTTGGCTAAAAAAATAAGCCAAAACACTGTTTCTGGCTGAATTGTTGTGAGAGAGAAAACAATGTTCCGGTTGAAAAAAGAAGCCAAATAAGCCGGATTTTAAGACAAGCAGAATAGGGCTAGTGTGTGAACATACAATGATACGGGTTGAGAGAGCACAACATAATAAATATGTAGGGCCTTTTCGCTTGAACTTATCAGCTAAAATCTACAGTGTTTTTCTCTCATAACAAAACAGCTTCAGCCGGCTTATCAGCCGGCTTTAATAAAAGCCGAACAGGCCGGTAAATGCATGCATGGGCCTCAAACAATTGATGTCAGCATGGGCACACGCAACCAAGTCGTCCAATCAGGCCGCACTTTGTTCATTTCGGAGATGTTCGGTTGATAGTTTCTGCAGCTGAAAAGGCGGCTGATGTTGTTTTTGTTGTGAGAGAAAAGCACTGTACCAGCAGATAAGCCAGGCTGATAAGTTCAAACGAACAGGACGTGACGACGTGACGTGAGGTGGGAACTGAAATCGACAGACGTGTAGAGCAAGAAGGAACTCATCCCGTGTGTTGATGGATTGCCTGGGGCGGAAAAATCGCACCGCACGAGTGCACGCGCGTTCGATCCCAAGTTTCTCTACTAGACTCCTACTATCGCCTTGTTCGCTTTGGCTTGTTTGACTGATAAGGCATGACAGAAAGTACTGTTAGCTGATTTAGCGTGAGAGAAAAGTACTGTTTGTTAGCTAAAAAAATTCATCTTATAAGCCAAACAAGCTCAAGGGAGCAGGGTGAACGTGAGCACGCGCTGATGATGCGCGCAGACAGCACGCAGTGACACCCTGACACGTCGATCGCCTCGGATGTCGTCGCCGCCTCCTCCCTTCCAACGAAAAATATCTCGATCGTCCTCGGTGGTGATGGGATAGATCCTCCTCCTCAGAGTCGTGCATGGACCGCAAGACCGACGACTCTTGTTGGGCTCGTACGCGACAGGGCTCATCCTCCTGCATGCTTCCTGCTGAAGTGCTGATCGAGCTTATTCTCCGCAGTTATGTTCTCCCACAAGTAATAATCAAACGAAAAGTGGTAACGTCCTGATGCATGTCAAAATCTCCTGCGCCCCTTCTCTTCCAGGAACCTTCTCTCGCGCGCATCCAGGTCGCCGATCTCACCAACTCTCGCAATCCAAGCTGAGCAAGAAACGTCACACTACTCCCAGAAAAACCACTGCAGATTCCCGGAACCTGCACGCGCCGCAGCAGCACTGATCTCAGGAACAAAAGTTATCACCTCCCCTAAACAAAAGCAATCTTTGCGGCGCCAGCGCCACGCAGGTGGGGTGCGCGCAGCCTATATAAACGCGGGCAAACCCCCCCAACCCCTTCCCAACACTACACAAGTCCAAAGACCCAGCTAGCTGCTTTATTTGATTCCAACTAACCACCAGCAGCTTAATTTGATTCAGTCATCATCAGTTCATGCTCTGCGGACGCACGTAGCTAGGCCGTACGTTCAACGGATAGCAAGCTGAGAACATGGACAGCAAGCTGCGCGTGCAGCACGGGCACCACCCCAGCCACAACAACGGCATCTCCAAGCCGCCGGTGCACCACCACCACGCCGGGAGGAGGGGCGGCGGCGCTGGGTCCGGGACCAGGCAGGGCGGCGGCGGCGGCGGAGGCAATAAGGGGATCAAGGTGGTGTACATCTCCAGCCCCATGAAGCTCACCGCCAGCGCCGAGGAGTTCCGCGCCATCGTGCAGGAGCTCACCGGCCGCGACTCCAACGTCGCCGACCACGACATCGACGGCGGCGACGCCTACTACGCGGGCGCGCCGTCGTCCTTGTCTTCCTACTCCTCGTTCGGACGCGTCTCCCCGGCGGCCACTGCGGCGGGCGCCCGCGCTCTGTCGCCGCCGACGATGATCGCGGCGACGAACGACGGGCCGGTCCGACGGGTGCCGCCCGAGTATGCCGCTGCGATGGCCGAGCCGCCGCCGTTCCAGAACATGTACGACCAAACTGCCGGGAGCTTGCTTTACGGCCAGGATTACTGGTAGGAACACGTATCGTAAGCTGTACGGGCGGGGTTTGTACTCGCCTACGATATTATTGCCGATTTGATTATTTCACATGCCATGCCATGCCTATGAAAACACATGCCGTGTATATTTGTAGCGTGTATTTACATAAGGTTTCTGTGCGTGCATGGTTCTTGTTCTTTAGGCTGCACCCATCCATCCATCATCTTGTACTTGATCCCAACAGCATGTTAATATTGGCTAGATGTATCTATACATGTTTTTGCCTCTTTCTCTGCACTTCATTCCGACATCCAAAGATCAACCGATGTGTATGTGTGCAGCTGCCAAGTGCGCCATAGCAACTTGCATGAGCTCATGGCATGCATCACAATCTTATTTACTTTTTTTAAAAAAAATAGTACAATCTTGATCAAGTCTGTATATCCCACATACATATATATACGCGAGTCAGTCAATGGAAGGGGATAGATAGCTATAGCCATAAATGCAACCGTATTGTGACATATCGCACGGTATGTAAAGCAATTTCTTCTGTTTGGCATTGAATCTCTGGAATCATGACCTAGGGTTAAGCGACACCCCTAGCGGCCGCCCCCGACCCACCCCCCGCTGCAGCCGGTCGCCATCCCGGTGCCGGCAGCCCTCTCCCCCTCCCTGCTCCCTCCCCAGCCCCCACAAGCCCGGCCTCCGCCGCTACCTCAGGTCGCAGTTTCGCGCTTAGCGGATGTGCCGCCCCCTACCCGCCGCCGCTGCAGCCGGCCGGCGTCTCGGCCCTGCTGGCTCCCTCTTCCCTTTCCGATGACTCTGGCCGCCACCAGCCGTGCGAGCCCCAACTAAGCGTAGGTGTAACACCCTAGGTGTTAATCACAAGTTAAGCAGTGGGTTTGAACTTAACACGAGATGTCAAGTGATGATCAGGAGCTCTAGTTTAGAACCTAAAAAGTTATGAGAATGAACTGGTGTGAACCTTTTCAAAAATGCAACCCAACTTAAACTTTTCAAAGACAAAGACAAAACTCTTTTGGTTTAAATGTAACCCTTTTCAAAAGCATGCATGATCGAGTAATGTTAATCATGTCTCTTTCATGTGCATCACATAAGCATAAGCATGAGCATGAGTATGACCTTAAGTGGATGCATTTGTTTGCTCACATATGATATTGGGTGTGATGCTTGTTTTCTATATGCTTTCTTGTGATGGATTGTTGGGAACTTAAATAAGTCATGCTCAATCACCTAAACAACCTAGAACAACTTAGGATAAAAAAATGAAGTAGGGTTCATGTTGATGAGCTAGCCTAGAAATGCTTCTATGTGTTGGTTCTATAAGAAATATCCTTTTTCATGATGCTGTTTTGACTAAAGTGTGAAGGGGCGACACGGGGAGATGACTGAGGAGAGTGCGACGGCGGCGCGCTGTCCCGCACGGCCGAAGGGTAGTGGAGGTCGGTGGTCCTGGTTGGTGTTGCCAGCCGAAAACAACGAAGAACATGGTCGTCCGTGGTGGAGCTCCTTGGAAAACTCGTTGGACGAATGGCGATCAAACGGTGATGGATTGATGTAAAGACGACACTATGATGTAGAGAAGGACGAGACGAACATCGTGGTGGTGGTGGTTTTCGTCGGAGATGTTCGAGGTGATCGGAAAAACTCTCCGGAGTTCTAGAGTTTCAAAATTTCGGCTTTATATCTGTGGAGATAGGAGCGGCAGCTACGAAAACTGATCGTACTTCTGAAACTAGCGCGTTGAGGGTGGAAAAACGATATATTTTGTTATTTTCGGAATTAAATAATTTCAGGATTAAAATAATTTTAGAAAAGTCTAGAATTGTTATTTAAGCCACGAAAAATACTCCGAAAGCTCCAAAAATTCGAGGAAAATTCTCAGAGACATTTTGGAATATGAGGAATCCAAATAAAGTATTTAGAGATAATGAAAATATATTTTTGGAGCATCTAAAAATTAGATTATGCTCTAAGAAAAGTGAGAAAAAATCCAGAAGAAGCCGGAAAAATTCCTAGGAAGTTTGTAGAGATAAGTATGATGAATGGTGAACTCAAAAGATTGATATGGAGCGGAAGACGAGGATCTTGGGGAACTCTAAGCGATGGCACGTTTTGAAAATTTTACTCACTCACAACACAAAGTCATGCAAGCAAACATGACATCATCCAAACGCCTGTCAAATTAGTTTATAAATTTGGTCAAACTTGAGATGCTTTGACTCTCCAAGATTCTTAGAATGACTTATAATTTGGGATGGAGGGAGTAAAAGATAACAGTGCAGGAATGTAAGTACGCACATTTATACTCTGGCTTAACATAGTTCCTGATATCAATCTGAAAATCCAACATTGACATCCACCATAGGCAAGCATGTCTTATAGTGCATCTAAGCTGTATGAAGATAATCTCCTAATGGTGGTTTGAGATAGGACCACATTAAAGATATATCTTTTGTTTAATCCTATGAATCTGCTACCTATAGAAATAGGTCATGCAAGAAGTTGAGGGGAAAGAGAAAATCTTCTTTTTTCAGCTAACGAGAGGCTCAACCTTGCATGTAAGATATCAAATCTAACATGATCAATAAATTTGATTTTTCAGATGCATGTACCAACAAGGGGAGCTACTACACACCAAAACATCTAGAGCATAGTGAAGAAATAAATAAAAGAGACTGATGGATAAGATACACATACTAACCACGAAGTTCTCTCTCAAAAAGGAAGGGCGGTAAAACATTTGCTCTCTGAATAAAGCTGAAAGGTGGCTGTTAATGCAGCTTGCGCTTCTGAACCCAACGATGAGCTGAGAAATTACACGCTCTAATGCGTTGGCAATTGCCAGGAATTTGCATGCGCCTCTTTTAGTAAGGTCAACAATGCTGAGTTCAATGATGTTTTACCTCTGCAGGGATTTGCAATGTTCTTACTTGCATGGATTGAATTGGTACAACGAGCTGAGCCAAGCTGGCTCATTATCGAGCCCTACTTGTGTGGGAGTGGGATCCTTCAAACCTCCTATCAAGATCATGGTGACAATGATCTTGAACTACTTGGGAAGACATCTCAAGAACTTTTGGAAAAAGTCTTCATCATCAACCTTGTGTTATAGGCTCCTCAATTTATTCACATTGAGCCTATGAAACATCTTCGACGCACTCTCATTATCAACCATCTTAGAAATTTACATGCTTGTCTTTGAAGATGTAGAGCCTTGCATCCTTGACATTGAATGTCTCTTCATAAACTTCCTAAAGCGGCTTCCATACCTTGAGCTAAAAAATAGAGATGAAACACATGATGTATAACAACAGCACGGCTGTAGAGCATCCATGTCCACTAAACCGAATACGTCAGTAGAAAGCAAGTTTGCAACACCTAAGTTCAGGAATCTGTAGAAGTGTTTGATTGCTGCAAGAGGTTCGCGACTCTACTAGTTAAGTTCTTAGTCTGCCCACACGTTACAAAGAAAGCTACAGGCCCAGTGTCCCACGAGGCAAAGTTGACCAAGTCACCTTCACCGAGAGTAACGCAAAATCTGTCTTTATTTCCTGTGTATCATGTCCATGGGTTTTTGCCTCAAAGGTACATCGCCGTTGGTCGAAATTGAATGGCAGCGTACCTACATTGAATTTTAAATCTATCAAAGAATCCATAACTACAGCAACTACAAACCTCTTTAAGAAGAGTTGGATTTCCTTAATCAACTCACTGGTTAAACAACCATGGGACAAACTGAAACTGCTTTGCACTTCCGATATGAGAACCTCTATAGTAGCCTCAACTGCGGGTTCAACACGAGAAAAATTTATTTCAACTGCACCACAATCTCCAGGGATGCAAATCGAGCATGGACGATTCCATGTGCCTACATGGGTTATGATTGATGCACCATCGATCAGCTGTAGGTCATCTTTTTCATGTTCACCTGTCTTGATCCTGATGTCATATTCGATTAAAGTAAGGTCATAAATGTCGATCCCTCGCTTAGGGCCAATCATGTTGATGACAGAACCCTACAAAACCATCATATTTAATAGCTCTTCACATCAAAGTAAGAAATATCTCTAAAACTAAATATCTAAAACTAAATGCTTCCCTTATATGTTTCATTTGTAATAGTATTTACTTGAAGAATATATTTTACAACTGATACAAAAGACCTTAGTCACGAATCAAACAAAATGGTTTCAAGCGCATATTGGTTTATAGAGATGGGAACTGGCCTCCGTTATTATTTAATTTTTGTTGCGAACTCCAGAGTTCACAACTTCACATAGGCTGATAGGCATGTGTCAAATGAAAAGAGAAACGAAAACAACTACAGTAGTGATGGAATCATTAATACTATGCATCTTCATGTGGCTACAAACCAAAAAAAGTTGTTTGTACTTAAGTAGCAACCAAGAATCCAAAAATATTCACTATAATTTGTTTGGAATAAGTGATACTCCCTTAGTTCCATAATTTAAATCTCTTCACATAATAAATCATCATTTCATAATATATTATTCCCTCCATCCATTAATGTAAGGCATGTTTTGAAAACAGTCCTTCAAAGTAGAGTTTGACCTTCAAGCTCTCTTACAATACATTGTAAATTGCTACAAAATTAACATCTATTTAAAAGTAATTCGAGGATCAATCTATTGATGCAACTTTTGTACAATAAACATAAAAAAGGCATGCCAAGAAGGCGGGTCTAGGTAACAGAACTACTAGACAGCCTTACCATTGCATAACTATTTGCATAATTTTGCAATGAGGCTGGTTTGAACCCATGAGGCTCCAGGAGAGACTTGCACATTAAATATGAATACAATTTAATTATTGTTGGCCAAAACATATACAGCCTTTCAAATCGAAATATGAAATACAATTCTATTATTGTTGGCCAAAAATTACAGTTTTACCTTTTCAAATCAAAATATGACATTGATAGATGGAACAAGTAGTGGCTTATGCAACCAAAATTATACTATTATTCTGGTACATCTGGACAGATAGATCACATGAAAGCATTCTTTTTTTTATTTGCAGCTAAGACAAAATATTACATGGGAGTAGGAAGACAATATATATCTATGGAAGAACACAGTACAGTAATCCTATTTGCAGTTATCGAGGAAATAAGACCTACACGCGCAAGGAATAAAAAGGATGGCGCACAAAGTGGCTAAGCATCAGGCAGCAGCTTCAAGTTATCTTCAGTTTTATCATTTGTTTGGAGTTTGTTCCTTTGAGATTGAGTTTGTTATTCCTTTGTGAACTTCTGAGCTAAGTTGGAATTGGGCTTCAGTATGTAAGCCAAAGGGCAGAACTCTTTAGGCAAGCAAGAAGTAATTTCCCTTCCCATCTCTCTCTCCCTCGTGCTTCCTCCCCATCATAGCTAACGGACAGCAAGGCTCCAAGCCTCGGCCGGCCATCGACCACAGCTACCACTTAAGTAGCCTTGGTCTACCGCCACTGCTTCCTAGCCGTGACAGCAGTTAATACAACATTCACAACCTATCCCAACTTTAATGACGTAAAAGTACATGAGAGTAGTAGTTATAGTAATACCGTCAAGAGTATGCAACAATCAAATCTCATATGTTCTATGAATGTGAGAAGTTTAGCTGCCTTTTGTTAATGAATGAAGTTTACTATAAGGAGTAATTCTTAACTCAAGTTTCTAGGTTCATCTACTCAATGCACTTAAGTATAAAACTGGGTGTTTGGCTCCAGAAAATGTTCCATACCATCTAAATCTATTATCTAAATGATTCTCAGGGGTGGTTTTGGTGGTTGTTTTGCCCACGTTGCAGTATCCAACAAGCCATGTGGGCGAAACCACCTCCAAAACAGCTCCAAAGTGTTTTTTATTAGGATAATTGTATAGCCTATGTTGTACCACACTAACTTGTATCACAAGTTGTACTATTCCTGTAGGGGGCAGTAGGCTATACAATTATCCTAATAGTTTTATACTTGAGGGGGTTAAGCAGACAGAACACAATACTGAACCACCATCCAGAGAAATACTAGCCACCTCTATTGAGAAAATAATTGCAGATAAGTTTGAATGCTTACCTGCCTCACAATGATGGGATCATCCCTGATAAAACTGATGACATAATTAAGCAATGGATCTATGACATCCCGTGTGGCTATGTATCCGTACAACTCTACTGAGCCACTATCCAGAGAAATACTAGCCACCTCTATTGAGAAAATTTGCAGTATGCGACCAGGATCATGTTCCACGCAGGTTCCATTGTAAAATATACAATCTGTGGGTTCTGATAACGTCATTGCTTCCAACCGAGCTTCATAAAAAGCAAAGTTCATATTATAACTTTGTATCTGGAAACTAATGTAGTGAAAAAAAAATTGCCAATTGAAAAGTAGATATGCTATTTGAGGATTACATGGCCCTATGAAATATTTTTTTCCTTTTTCATCTACTATGTAGAAATAACTCCACCAATGTTGGGGTTGCCTATGGTGTTTCAGCATAGCAAGGTCCAAGCCTTGGTAAAGGAGTAGAATTGTATTAGGCTTGGCGAGCCAATGTAAAAACTTAGCAACCATTTTGGAGATGAAACCCAAAAGAATCCGGTTGGGGCGTAACCCTCTTAGCGAGATGCCATGTCGGAACCCGGGTATGGCGTTAAATAAGCAAGGGCCGGGTTTGTCACCACCGTGACATGTCGTGTCGTGATCTGGGCACGGTGTCAAGTGAGCAAGGATCGGGTCGTCGCACCCTCAGTGGCACGCCACATCGGCACATGGGTGTGGTGGAAAATGAGCAAGGGTCTTCACACCTGACTCAACGGGTGCGAAGGGTAAGAGAGCTAGTCGAGCCAATTAGGATTTGTTTGGGTAGCTAGAATGTAGGGTCCTCCAGGTGTAGCCGGTGTCACGGGGCCCCCGAGGTCGCCGTGTACGAGCTCTAGCCTCTCCTTGGCATGGAAGCTCGCCTGCCGAGGGAAGGGGAGTCGTTGCTGCTTGGTCAGCACGCAGGTGTCGCAGAATTGCTCCACGTGCATGACGCACGGCATGCCCCGCACCATCTCCTTGTTGCTGAGCTGCTTCAGGGCCTCGAAGTTGAGATGCCCAAAGCTCTCGTGCCACCGCCAGGCGTCGTCGTTGCGGCAAGCTGCAAGCCTGCACATGGAGGACGTAGAGGCGGTTGCTCCCTCTGCTCACCTTGGCGAGGAGCTGGTGACTGCGATCCCAGATGCGCAACACCCCATGCTCGATCTCCACATGCGAGCCATTCTCATCCAGCTGTCCCAAGCTGATGATGGAGTTCCTCAACGCGGGGATGTAGTAGACGCCGGTGAGCAGCCGGTGCTCGCCGGTCGTGGCGATGAAGACGACAGAGCCGACACCCTTGATCTTCACGGCGGAGGCGTCCCCGAACTTGACGAAGCCTCGCACGCCGGAGTCCAGGTCGAAGAAGCACTCCCGCCACCCGGTAATGTAATGGGTGGGTACCAGCCGTCGATCTTGTAGTCGCTCGTACCGTTGCCGAGGAAGACGTGGGCATGTGGCTTGTCGAGCTGGAGAAGAGCGGCGACGACCGGTGCGGGAGGGGAGTTCAACTCGACGCTCCCGTGTACCAGGAATAGAGCTGGTTCATCACCCTCCTGCGCTTGCGCGACGTGTGCCTGTCCGCCGCGCTTCGCCTACCGACCGTCCTTGGCCCAATGGCATGTCTTGCTAGAGTTGAGGCAGATGCCATCCCAGGTGGCCTTGCGCTCGCCATCAGCGCTGCCAGGAGCACCACCACGTGCCTGGGGCGCCTTGTCCTTGTCCCTCTTGTGCGGTCGGCGCTTGCGGCCGCTCGATGAGCTCGAAACGTCCCCTTCTTTCGCTCCTTCTAGCGGGTGAGCCATTGCTCCTTAGTGAAGAGAAGCTTGGACCAATAGTAATCGACTTTGAGGGAGGTAGCTGCATGTGGTCGTCGACAGCCTTGAGGCGACCCATCACCTCCTCGATCATCAGCTCGGAGAAGTCCAGCAGCGTCTCGATTGCCAAGGCGACCTGCATGTACTTCTTGGGGACGACGCAGAAAAACTTCTCGATGGATTTCTCCTCGTCATTGTCATCGTCACCGTATCACGCCATCTACTGCATCGGGGTGGAAAGACAGAGAGTGAAGTCATCGACGTCCTCGTCTGGCTTGAACACCAGGCGATTCCACTCCTGACGCAGCTTCTGCTGCGTGGCTCTACGGGCACGGGCGCTGGCGATGCGTGCCGAGGCAATGGCGTCCCAGGCATCCTTGGTGGTCTCCTTATTCGTGAGGGTGGGCACCATCTCTAGTGAAACAACAGCAAGAAGAGCCTCCAGTGCCCGTCGATCCTCATAGAAGTCGACGTCGCCATACCGGACCGCTTCCCACATTTACCACGCCTGTAGCTTCACCTTCATCACCATGGACCACTCATTGTAGTTGGTATTGGTGAGCATGGGCCATCTGCTGCTGGCACCAGAGTCCTTGAAGACTATCCAGATGACATGAGGGGAGCCACGCCATCCATGGTGGCCACGGCACCAGTTCGGTGGAGGAGAGGCGTGCCGCCTGTGAGGGCTTCACGCCCCACTTTCTCGTCCACCCAGGGCATGCGCCTCATGCTCCTCGCGAGCTAGCCAGGCATGGATGTCGCGTGTGGCTCGTGCGTCTGGAACCCGCACGCGTACGTCCTGCGCCAGCGCGCCTCGCGCACCGCTCGTTCGTCGATAGTCGCGAGCCGGTCCTCCCGCGCCACATGCCTCCACTCCTACTCGTACCGATGGCGCGTGCGCGTCTGCCACCCGCTGCTCCTCCAACACCTGGGACCGAGCGAGCACCGCGTCAAGGGCCCCTAGCGCTGGCACGTCGGCACCAATCGATCGCCGTCGGGTGTAATAGGCTGGTGGACATGGCACTGGGATTCAGATTGGGAAGGGTAGAACCAAGAAAGAACTAGGCTCTAGATACCAATTGTTAGCCAAAGACAAAGGATTTGGGGCAATTTTTCCTCTATTTCATAGATAACCATGGTAGGATTACAAGATAGAAGACCAAGAGGTATGTTGCAAGCTTAGAGAAGAAAGGGGACTGCTACTTGCCTAAATAGAGAGCACCTACTTGGGGCTTAAGAAAGCTAAAGCATATTCTAGAGTAGATGCTAAAGTAAACAACATATACTAGATAGATAAGGTGCCGGCACATGCACCAACTACTCCTAAGATAAGCATCCTAGATGGATAAGCACAAGACTTATGCTGAGACCACCAATAAGAGTAGGATGCTGTGCATTGGAGATTTTGATGCTCGAAATCCATAAGAAATTTGGCACGTAGAGTAGGAAGAGGATAGAGGCTTTAGTTTTTTTCCTAGTTTATGTCTTTTGCCTTTTTGTAACGCTTTGTGGTGAGTTTTGATCTAAGTGCTATGTGTCAGTGTGAACCGTAGTTTTTAAGGCGGTAAGGCGAGGTGCGGTGCTCCACCCCCTTCCAGACACCTAGGTGAGTTAGGCGCATGGCGAGGCGATGCTGTCGGTGCTGGACCCACGGGATATCCTGCAAGGAAGGAAGAAGATCTAGTCTAACTAGGATTCTTCCCATGTAATCTTAGTAGTAGTATTATTCTATAATCCTACTAGGAACTCTCATTATAAACCGACTAGGACTCTGGCCTCCTGACTATATAAAGGAGGGCAGGGTTCCTAGAGATGGGACTTTGACGACACAATACTTCACAATCAATCCAATGCAAAGGCTAACGACGGACTGGACGTAGGGCTATTACTCGATCAACGATCGAGGGTCCGAACCAGGATAAATCGACTGTCTCTTGCGTTTACCGTCGAGTTCCGCATACGCTGAAGCCCGAACATACTGCCCCGGGTATCCCCATGGTAGGCTATCGGTGGTGAAACATCGACAGCTGGCACGCCAGGTAGGGGATTTCAGCGAATTTGCATCCGAGAGCTCGATGGACCTCGACAACATGATCTTCTCGATGGGATCAACCTTCATCTTTGGCTCATGGATCTGCGAGGCGGACGACAATGGCAAGCTCCAAAGCCGTCTCCTCGAAGATTCGGATCACCATGAAGACCTTTCTATTTCGGCGACTACGACAGATCAACTTGCTGGAAGATTCACGCAGCTCGTGATGTCCGATCCAACTCAGATTTCGTGGCTTTGCGCATCCGACTCAAACTCAGGTTCCGCATCCGAGATGGAGTCTTACCCGAGTTGTTCCGAGAAACCGAGTTTTTTTCCGATGGGGCTTAAGAACGCGGCCTTGGCCTATTAAGAATACAATTTGGAGTACACTCAGAGTCTTTTCAAGAAGTCAGGTCCTTTTCTGTTTGGACTCCACAACATGGCAACATCTTATCAGACACGGCCCGAAGGATCCCTTGATCCGGTGCTTAGAATGCCACTAAAGGGAGCTCAAGAAGGTCTCGTACTAACTGTAACATCTCAAGACTGCATCGTCCACTGGCCAGGTTATGTTCCTAAGAATAGCGGTACCCGACTAGTCGGCACGACGACAACAACAATTCTACCCTACTAAGGAGGAGACTCGATCTACGACCTTGAAGCCTCTACTAAAGTTGTTAACTACTCTAACAGTGTGGAAACCGACGCCGATAGCGGAACAATTCACGCACGAGAAGTATTCATGGTTCGCCGTCCTCGATCACCATTGGTCCCCCCAGAAGCGCCCGACGTCAGGTCATCGGATGAATCTGAGTCCAACATATCACCCTTTACCCAAGGGCACGATGGTGAGACCGAGAATCAGAAGCAAGCCAGAGAGAGAAAAAACAAGTTGAAACAAGGACGCCAACACCGTGCTAGGCAGCGCAAGGAAGCTTGGATTAGATATGAGTTAGATCTGGCCGAGTACAATAGAAGAAAATCAGAATGAGAAGTCGAAGAAAGACGCACGGTGAATACACCCTACGATAGGATCCAAGAAGCACTAGAAGAACTCAGAGCGACCTCACATCCCAGTGAAAAACACGAATAGCTCTGGGACTTTCTCTGGTCAACAGTCCTAAGGATGCACGACGTAAGGACCCGCTCAAGACTACCTGCTAGGTCAATATCTCATGAGCAGGAAGATCAAAATCAAAGGAAGTCCACTTTCGAGAGACTTGGGCCAAGTGAAAGTCACAACAGAGAAAGTAGAAGGGACCATAGTCAAAACGACCGAGTCGAACAATCAAGAAAGGTTAGAAGCAAAGCACCTATTCAGACAGCCACGCTGAACTACTCTCACCAAAACAACTGTTGGCAAGAAG